ATAATAATAATAATAATAATAATAATAATAATAATAATAACTAGTTTTTTCAAACCAGCGCACTTTTAATGCCAAGTTCATGCTGTCTTTTGGTCCGTGGCGCTACTTAGAAATTATCTTCGGAGGAGAAATGACAGCTTACTAGCACGCGCGCGATTCAGTGAACAGCATATTAATTTATTGAAATTGTTGTGATATGATAGGAAAAACATGAGAGATTATCAACTTCCATATTAATCACCCACCATATACGCTACATATTCTAGGTCACCGCTCATTTCCTGTTGTCGTTGCGGTTCTATCAATTCTTTATTGAAGATCTGAAAGTGCAGGAAGAAAATCAGCAGATGTGCAATAATATGAAACGCTGAAGCTCATCCTATTGCTCATCAGTGAACCATTGCGGTTTCCACTGAATTTACCAAAACCCGGTGCTCTAGAGTCTAGTATGGCTCATAGTTCAAAAAGAGCATTTCTCAACAATAAGCGTACACTGCATGCTGTTCGTGATGCATTCCTTTATGTTATTCAACAAACATTAATATCTTCTAGTTTTCATTTTATATCGTTCTCATTGTCAAATTGCCTGCTTGCGAGCACTCGTTTTCAACGTTTATTAGTTTATTATGTGTTGTTCATTAAATTATGCTTCACAAGATTATGATTTCTATGCTGTAGGCAGACTATCATTAGAAACGTGTTGTTGATATCGGAGCTGGAATCTGACCATTGTTTCTCGGTGGCCATCGTTAAAGCAAAATTTTCGACTCGGTATGTGATTACCGAAATTGAGTTGTCAAATGCTACCAACAGATCAGGTGCGTTCGTTATCGAATTTCAGTTCCGACGTTCCACTAGCGGGTGGAATACTACTTGCTCGTGATACAATTTTCATGAACTTGCAAATGCTTTGAAACGAATCAATCGTGTCGAAAGTGTCAATCGTTTGAGATTCAAAGGTGAAAAAGGGATGTTATGCAGCAGCTTCATAGCTGAGGATGCTCCAACCGGGAACCGATAAGATCCGATTTCAATCGCAGCAAAACCCGTCTATATTGACGATCATAAAATTTCATGTTGCCATCACTGAAACTTACTTTAAGCATTTCATGTGCTGTATCGAGATCGTTGAAGAAATCGAACAAGTACAGTTCATCCCGCAGTAATTTGCGAACCAATCTTCCGTAGAATTCCGCACCCTTAGAGCTCGCTTCCTTATGCATGTCGCCATAATATTTGGTTAATTCCTCGGAGAAACCCCCAAACAGAACTTTATAGAAATCCCTTGAATCTTCATCCAAAAAATGAATTGCTGAACACAGGTCTTTCGAATTAAGCCTTAAAATTAATTTTCACATTTACCACGACAGCTCTTCGAGGAGTAAATTTGAAGTAATAAAAGTTGCCGGAACGCAGGTTACTGCTAGCAAAATAACTGAACAGATAAGTGAAAAAATTAACAGGCGATCATTAAAGGAATGATCGAATAAACAAGTAAAAATTAATGAATTGTATATGTTGAATTATCCCGTCAATGACCGCATAATTAGACCTTGGATGCGCGTTATTGTGATTATGCTCATGAAAGGTGACGGATTACATGCAGGAAAACGAGTCAGATGTGAGCAGAACATTTGCTCGGATTGTGCTCGCGAGTAGAATCAGGTCGGTGGCCATCCAGAGTTTGCACGGGATCCCGGGATTTCAGTTCCAATTTCAATCCCGGGATTTAAGTTTTAAAAAATCCTGGGATCTCAGGATTTGATATAACAGGTCAATTCGTGTGAATTTTGATAGTATGCCCATCTTGAAGCAAGCCTTATTCAATTTCCAACTCATCCATAAGCAGTCATTTTTGTTGTTTGCCACCTATCTCTGATGAATGGTCAAGGAAATATACGCAAATTGGACGAATGACATGATTAACGACAGCTCGATGAA